TATTTAAAAAACCGAAACTTTATCCCACTGAAAAATTATACGCAGATGTTCGAATGTATGATATAAGACAGCTTTATTTCTTACACAGTATCACTCACTACCATAAATTTGTAAACACCGACCAAAAAATTAAACATAGTCATTATACCAGGTACAAAATTCGTGGCACAGTAGTTCCTCAACCGCATAAATCTATAATGCAGCGATCATATCTCTATTTAGCGCCTAAATTTTATGAAATTATACCTAAAGACTTAAAAGATTTACGTTTCGGAAATTGTTTCAAAAGAAATTTAAAAAAGTGGCTACATTCTATATCTAGGACTGAAATTCATAAACTCATAAATACGAACATCAACTAAATACATAATCTACTGTAGCTAATTTTTGTCCTTTTTTGTCATTTGCATACTACAGTTTCAACTTAAATTTATTGGTCCATGTACAGGCGATGCCTTCTATTGGGCCTGTCTTGATTTTATATTTATTTACTCATATTGTTTGTTATCTTTGTACATTGAGTGAATAAATATTATTATTATTATTATTATATTTGCATAACAGCTTACAACCAAGCTGTTCCTAGATGAAGCTGGTAAGTTACAAAATTTTTAAACATTGCATATTCATATTTATATACTTATCGCATTTTTTCCAGATGTGGTTCGTTCTCACAGACTTTATGAGACGTTGGATAAGAAACATTGTATCCCAAGTGCAACTGCATTGTTGGTGTCGGAGATGGCTGTTCACAAATCATTGTCAGAGTTTGGATTGCCTAGTGTCAGGCTAGAAGTATGTATAACGTGTAAATGCTCTGCAATTGAGTTTAAACATGCCCTGTCCTATCTGTTATTTTTTCAATATTAGTTGTAACCCTAACCTAAACATTTCAGACTATAACTATAAAAAAATATCATTATAAAGTTGTAGCCCACACCGAGGTGTAAACATTTTAATGTTTCATGAATCTATGCATCTTTTTTGCAGATATAAGCCATCGTGATTTTGCATACAAAAGAATGGATTCATTCAACCTTACTGAAATAAGTGAACTTGCTTTTTGTGACTGACATGTGTTACACTGCAATTTGTAAATTAAATGTATGCATAAGCCTGTATATTAATAAAAGTTAAAAGCTATTGAGTTCAAGAGGAGCTTTTTTATGCCTGGGAAGGGGGTTCTGAAATGTCTAATGGTTAATGTTGCGTGTGAGAGATAATATGTCACACGAAACTCGATAAAAAGGCTTTTTGAATATTGTAATCAACATTTTTCTATTTGACAAAATCTCACAAAGCTGATGCCATAGGTTAAATAGGAAACCAGTGATCTAGGAAAAGTGCTATATGAAATACATATTTTAATACGTATGGTTATATCGGTACTTAGAAGTAAATCATAAGAAATCACCATTACTTACAGTACTATCTTTTCAGATCTACTTGCATCGCTCAAGGAACATCCAATCCTGATGAGACCAGGGTATAAGATATTGTTCCGAGACAATAGCTCCAGTGAATGGAACGTTATGAAAGGGAAGAAAAGAAGAGTCAATATATTTAAATTGGATATTTCAGGAAGTTTAAGTTAATTAACTTTCCAAAATGATCTAATGTACCCCCAAACTAGAAAGATTTCTTTGTAATTGATTAAATATCCTTCTAGCCCTGTTTACATAGCTTGTAATTCAGAAAATAGCATATAATCTAGTTAACGTCATGCTAGAGAAATAAAAATTGTTTTAGGAGAAAAGAAGGATTAAAAATTGATGAAATCTATATTTCTAGATATTGTATATATTTCTGTGGGTATCCAATGTAGAATAAAAAATATTTATTTTACCAAGTATTCTTTTATTTATATTCTGCAAGTACCAACTGGAAAATATGATACATGAAATTGTTAAGGAATTCATAGATAGTATGTCAAAAAGTATCCGTAATCAAGTCTTTATATCTAAAAGGTCCAAATAATAACAGGAAATATAGAATTATAGCCAAACTAACATATCCAAAAGGAAAAACTACAATAGTGTATTACAATAACCTTTAATAATTCATATTTACTTACATAAAATATACAGGGTTACTTCGAAGTTGAGTCATTTATTTTAACAGTGAGTAGATCTGATCAAAAGAAATGTTTTTTTCCTTTACCATTTTTCTGGTTAAATTAAAGTAATAAAGTTATAGCTTTTTGGAAGTTTGAGTACCGCCGTGTCTCAATGATAATATTATGTGCTCGTGTTTGGCAACAACGGGTATAATCCGCCATCGGTTCATCGCATCGGAAACAAAAAAGCGAAAGAATTTGGAACGATGTTTTTACAATAATTTTATTCAGTTGTGTTGTATACACTCAGTGTACAGTCGGTAACGCGTCAGTGAATAGTAGTGTCTGTTGCGTGGCTCAAACGAAATAAAAAATGGCACATGTTTATGCGGATCGGTTTCCCAATCGAGTGCAACCAACCCCTCGTGCCTTTGTTAATGTAGTACAACGGGCTCGTGAATCAGGTGACTTAAGACGGCATGCCGGTGCTCCAAGACCTCGCGATCAAATACAGGTCCGCACTGAAATACTTGTCGGGAGGATACTTTATAAAACAAGGTAAATTTTTTTTTTAATTTTTTTTTATTTTTACACACATATTTTGGTTTATCTTCCTTCTACAATCATTATCTGAAAATTAATGACTCAACTTCAAAGTCACCCTGTATAAGGTGCTTTCCAACTAAATGTCAATATTTAAGAATGCGACTTTTTAATCCACTTTAAGAAGAAAACTTTATATAATTGTGTGTCCTAAACGTCTTGACTTTTGAGAAACAGGGTGGTAAGCTTTTTAAAAATCAATCATTTTTGTTACGGTCTGTATTATCACTGTAAATACTTTATTAAAATTCTGCATATGTGTACTATCAAGAGGTATTTTTAATGTACGAATTTTCTTTTGATTTCCACCAGCGACGTTCGTACCGATTTCACTTGCTTATTTTGGCAGACAATGATAGTACGCAACTGATTTCTCTTAAAATAAAAACTTTTAATTGAAATCCCGTCATTTCTAAGCAAATTTGATTGCTTGATTTTTGTTCACTCCGATTCACGGTATTCGCTTACAAAAATAAAGTAACGTTTCTTTGCATGATCCTAATATCGTTAGTATGACAATGTCACTATGTCGAGAAACAGATTGTATTTTTCAGGTAAAAAGGGTGCGTCAGACTAAAGGAATTCAATTCTTCATGTCCGACCCACTATTTACACCCAAAGAATTCTCTGCATGGTGTTATTGTCATGTTAACAATAATGTTATGATCGTTTTTATAAAAATCGTGCATCAGATTGAAAAAGAAATCGTACTTTTTTTACCACCCTGTATTTCAAAACAAGATATACGATCATTTGAAGTTTTCGTCTTAAAATGGACCTGAAACTACCCCCCTATATATGGACATTCAATTAGGAAACAAACTAAATCGCAGCTACCAATACTTCGAGAGAAATGTTGACTTTCGAACCAAATATTTCATTTTTTTTTCACTATGACTATCATAACTAGCAACATCTGCTCTTTATATGAGTGTTTCAAATGTCAAACCTGTTCAGTTTTTGATATTCCTTTCTCAAACAGTAAATGTTTTTCTTTCCTATGCCACAGTTTTAATAGATTTTCCCTTTTATGTTAAGATTACAAGTCAATGAACAAGTTGGAAAAGAAACTGTATTTAGCTGTCCTCACTTTTTCTTCATATACCACATTCTACAACATTAATATATGGTGCAACACATTTGATAAATACAACGTGTTGTTCTTTGAGGGTCAGTGCATTGATCTCCTTGTTCTTGATGATGCCACTGAAGTATGCTTAGTAGCATAGCTCCATTATTGATAGCGATTTAAATCCAAAATCTATACCCAGCAGTTTAACCCTTAAACGGTCGATGTATCTCCTGAGATACGGTCACATGGTACTGGCATGTATTTAAAAACCCATTAAAATGTAGCGAATTGGGCGGTGTATAGTGTGAGATACATTCACTAGCAACGTTGTGTCGCCTATGCCGGTTCATTTTATTTGCAGTTGTCCGCATGGTAGGTGGTACTTTGTGTCATTGTTATGGATAATCAACAAGTTTTGACCCCGGTAAGCTCAATATAGTACAAATTAGTTATTACAGCCTCTGGTGTGTTCGTAATTATATAATTATGAAAGCTGATGCTTCCTTTGAGTCTTCATTGCTTTATTTTTTCTTTGAATAAATTTTTGAGGTTAGTTTTTGTCTTACAAATGTGTGTATCCCTAGATGCACATTGCCCATTAAAAATAACGTAAGGCATTTGATACGCAATTTATGTTAGAATACATGGTAACTTCAAGAACTATTTCAGGGTATCGCTCCCCGCATATTTTACGGAAAAGCAGCAAATATTCCACATATTGTTGCTGTGCTACCACCGGACGATCCATGTGTATCAGACGTTGGCAAATCATCAGATGAGGAGGAGCTGTTTGGCGGAGACTATAGCGATTTGGACCCCGATTATCAGCAGCCGCCCACACCTAAGAAGCGCAAATGCTTACCAGTAGTTGATACTTCAAGCGACTGGGAATCAGAAGATGATTTACCTTTAGCGAATTTTGTGCAAACATCGAGAGATAATGCTATACCAGGTGGTGATAAACGTTACACTTGGAGCAAAACAGATTTCCAACACATCAGATATCCAAAAGATGTCTTTTTTGCTGGAGTAGACGGAGAATATTCCCCTCTGACTTATTTCGAAAAATTTTTTGACGATGATTTGTTTGAGCATATTGCACACCAAACGAATATTTACTCTACACTGACAACTGGGCGTTCTATTGATACTACAGCTAATGAAATAAGATCGTTTGTAGGAATTGAGTTGATAATGGGGGTAGTCCAAATGCCAGCAATCGAAGACTACTGAGCCATAGAAACGAGATATAGTATTATTGCCGATGTTATGCCTGTAAAGCGCTTCAAGAAATTGCGAAGACGCATACACTTTCAGGATAACAATACTGATCCGCAAGGAGATAGATTATTCAAAATTCGCCCCCTTATAGAAAAACTGCGACAAAAATGTATAGCTATCGAAGAGGAAGGTTTGTTTTCTATAGATGAAATGATGATTGCTTACAAAGGCAAGAAAGCTGGAAGTCTGCGCCAATATATGCCTAAAAAGCCAAAGAAGTGGGGGTTCAAGATGTTCGTTCGAGCAGGCGTGTCAGGGATTGTGCAAGACTTTCTCATCTATACCGGCTCTAGTACTTTTGACGAAATTCTATTTTCAAAGGAGGAACAACAAATGGGACTTGGTGCAAAAGTGGTACTTGCCCTGTGCAGAACTATTCAGAAACCAGAAGAGTCTTTCGTCTATTTTGATAACTTCTTTTGTTCATTGGAACTAATTGAATACTTGAAGAAAAATAAAAAATTGGAAAGTTTGGGAACCATTAGAAGCAACAGACTTAGAGGATGTCCCTTGCTAAGTGACAAAGAACTTCTACGGAAGGGGAGAGGTAGCTTTGATTACAGAGTAGACAATTCCGTGGGACTAGCGGTGATAAAATGGGCAGACACTAAATGTGTGACTCTGGCTAGTTCGTACATTTCGCACAGTCCAGTGTTTGAAGTTAGCCGATTTAGTAAAGAACAAAAGAAAAAGGTAAACGTTCAGTGCCCTCAAATAGTCAAACAGTACAACATTCATATGGGAGGCGTAGACTTATCTGATATGCTGGTTTCACTGTACAAGACTCCCTTCAAATCAAAGCGATGGTATCTCGCTATGTTTAGTCAGATGATTGATATAGCTGTCAATAATGCCTGGCTATTGTATCGGAGAGATCTAGCCTCACAAGGCAAAAAATATAATAAGCTCAAAGACTTCAGAATAAACATCGCAAAGTCTTTGATTGAATCTCGTAACGTACCCAGAAAAAGAACTTCTGCTGCAGCAAACTTGCTCCCTCAAAACAAAATAAAAGTTCCCGTCGCTCCACGGCCTACTGAAGATGTCCGGTTTGACAACGTTGGACACTTTCCAGTTTTCACTGAAAAAGGCCGCTGTAGGCTTTGCACAAATGGACAAACAACAATTTTATGTCAAAAATGTAATTTGCGCTTATGCATCGTATCAGGAGCTAATCAGAGAAACTGCTTCACAAGTTACCATTCCAAGTAATCATGTTCCTCCTAGAGGCAATGTGCATTCGAAGATACAACTAGTATTTTTTTATTTTAATTTTTTTATCTGAAAAATGTTATTTTCTGTTGTATTTGATCAATAAAAGTTCAAAAAATTAGTCAGGACTTTTAATATAGACCTACTTCTATCGCTGCCCGTTTAAGGGTTAAATACAAATCAAATTCTTGTAGCCAAGAAGAAGTGGCGATGAAAAGGTAGTCAAGCATAAAGTTTCACGGTTTAGTATGTAGATTTATTTACAAATTACGTACATATGTATATATATATATATTCTCAATATGAAAAAAAATCCTATCAAAAACATTTATAACCGATGGCAACCTATAAAAATTATAGATGCATGAATAGGTTCCAAGATTTTGACCTCTTCCTAAAAATATTTAGCATAAAAGCTGCTGCTGAATATAACTAAGGGTATGACATCTCGGCATCAAACGTAATGAGATACTAGTTTAAAACTAATTACCGTTTTGAATCAAGAACATCATTGGAAATGCGCCAATGATGATAATCTAGAGGTGATCTGGGTATTTTAATACGGTTGCTGCAGGCAGAGCTTTTAGTGATACAGTTGAGGGGTTTATGAGATGTTGACTGCTATCTGAGGACAGTAGGCAATACCTGGAAGATGGACAACGATATATACAAAATTATTTACGTAGTAGAATACCGATTCATAGATTCACCTGTGCAAAAGCTTGGGAAGTCTTTTCTAAGTTCCTACTACTACAACCACATATCTTAACTCCGATCAGCTTGAAGAGCACAGCTTGACTTGAAACAATATTCAGACTAGGTAGAAAAAGCCAGTTAAGGATTTGTTTGTCTCTTTGTGATCATAGTTTCTAGTAAGGACCAAGTGCACTTGACGTTAGTCAATTTATTTAGTCATAAATTATTAGCTTTTGTGTTATTTTTCAAATGTTTGCAGATAATTGTGGGGTTATACGGTTTCAAGACGATTTCCTATACGATTTGCAAAGAGCAGCACAACTCTAAAACTAGATGTTCCCACCGGGAAGCATTATTATTATGTTTATACAACGCGGTCTCTTTGGCAGGCATTAGCAGACAAATGAGTCAAAAGTATTTACTAAAAGGCACGTAATTTTGGGGACAAACAATGCAACGTAAACATCTATGGTAAGATCTACGAATTACTTGATATACATGTACCAGTCTATACAAAATTTAGGCATAGGTATACAGCTGAAATTACTCAGCTAGTTAAGAAAAAGGCTGAATTGCATAAGAAATTTAAATTTACATGCAATGCTGATGTTTATGAAGATTTTAGTATGCTAGGAGTAACTGTTAAGCAGAATATAAAAGAAGCTTATGATCGGCACCTGAAAAAATTCAAAATCAGTCAAAATTGGGCGTTCATGCATCAAAAAAATGATACTTCTAAGATTCCTGGACAAATGTCTGATGGAAAGCATGCATACTAAGTGAAGGGGGCCATTTTCAACTATTTTTGTAATCATTTCGTTGGCTTTAATGTCATGTTTATGTTGTCAGTTGTTGTTGTTCATCACCCCTAATCTGTTTAATTCTTTCAATTAAATTAATAATAATTTTGCAACTTAGGCAATAGAACGGCTTTTATTTTTTTAATCAAAAATGACGCATCGAAGGAAAACAATTCTAGAGAGATCATCTGTTTTAAATTGAACGGGACATTCAAAAATAATTTTTATTTGACAAAAAACCATTGCCGTGCCATTTTTTTCTTAAAAATATCGATGTCAATACCCGTACGCACGCCACTGTTGACGCTAAAAATTATTTTGGCATTGAAAAATATGCAACTTTATTAACTTTCACTACGTACTAAATATCAGTGAAATATCTGAAGCGGTTCTGATAATATTCATTAATTTCCATTTTTTCCTAAAACTTCAATTTTACATGTTGATTAACACCCTTAAATATTCGCATAACATTAATGAACGCCCTGTATACATAGGCTCCTAATCTATTCGAAATCGCTGTTTTCAATGAATAAGTATTCGCATCTGGCCACCTGTGTATTAAAAATTGAATTTGGCTGAACGAACGATCAAGTGTGACAGCCTCCAGGCTACTATTTATGTTTTGCCACAGTTCGGACTAATGTATCTTCTCTATCTACATTCAAACGGCAGACGATTTGCTGCAAACTTCACCTACCAACTATCGCCTCATTAATCAGTATAATTATAAATTATATACATACCAACCAAAATAAATTCAGATGATGCATGCGAAGACGAGTAGTGGGATGTTGTGACGTAACATCGAAAAACAGACTTCAGCTCCGGTCTAGCCAAAAATTTATTTATATATTTTATATGAAGGCTCTTAATTAAAAGTTCGTGTAAACGGGTCAGTGGCTTACAGCTAAGCACCACCGATGACGTGCTTGTGGCCAGCCACTGAACGACAGCAGTTATTTTTGGTAACTTAGATTGAAGGTGGTGATAGCTTTGTGTGAATTCTCCGACTGCTAATGGTTTATTTTAATGTAAGGGGTTTTTTCGCAAAACTGCACTGTTCTATCTTTCAGCAATTTCGTTTTATCGGGATTTATGTAGCGCATCACATTTTTCTTGGAAAATTCATTTTAAGCTTGGATGTAGGAGGTGACCAACAACGCGGCAAATGAGATGGACGATTTTATTAGAAGGTGTCGCTTATGTATAGAAAATAATGGAAGCCATTTCGAACATGTTCTTTTAAAGCTAGTTGAATCTTCCTCGTTTGTCCGTAAATCGCCATGAAGAGCGGCTAAACACAATGGGTTCTGTACTTGTAGGATTCTGTTGCGTTTCTTATGAACGTGACATGATACATTCATCGTACTGTATAGTCAGATAAGAGATAGACCGGACATAACCAAGACCACGTGATCATCGAACGCTGTAACATTCGGCAGGGACGTATTAAGAGTCACGCAGTACATATTTTAGATAGTAGATGCTGCTTTGCGTAACTTTGTAGTAAATTGGCACAATTCGATGTGTATACGATTGGTGATGGATATAGGATCATGTGGGGGTGGGGTAAGAAATATATAATGATGTAAATATACATAAAGGTATCAAAATTTTCGCTTCGATTTCCAGCTTCGGATGCCGCCTGATGTTTGGTGAAATACAGTCGAATATAATCTCAAAATGGCGTTTGAATTAGCCTAAATTAAAAATAATCGTATATCTCTTAAAATTGCTTTTAGAATATTGATTAGTATATTTTTTGATTTCTAGGTAAATATGTAACCAAATTAAAACGTTCAAAACGTAAAAAAATGTGCATGGTTGAACATTGTCAGAAAGTAGATTCTTGAATAGGTTTTGCCAAAATGGGTTCAAAAATGTCAATAATTAATTAAAAAATACAGTAGCTTTATAATTACTTATAACTTACCGAATTTGATGAACGACATCTTTTATTGGATAGATGAGCTTGATGAGCTTTCATCATCGCTACTGCCTGAAGCACCAACGTCAGTAATGAATGGCTCGACTTGTTCCTCTAAAATATTGTCCAGTTCCCACATTCTCTTTTCAACTTTGTCTTTCACGTGCTTAATACAGTTTTCCCATTTTTGCGCTGTTATTAATTCTAGTGCTTCTTTGAAAAGTCCTTTGAGGTCACAAAATTTAAAAGTTGTATTGTGCTTAGCTATATAATTTTTAACCTCTGCCCATATGAGCTCAATGCGATTGAGCTCGCAATGGTATGGAGGTAAACGGAGCACAGTTTTATTTTGACTTGCTGCCATTTCGTCAATGGCGTATTTTTGATATTCCGCCTTGTGATCCTTGACAATTCTTAATAACTGTACTTTCAGCATTGCTTCTTCAAAGTTGATATTTTTCAAGCGGAGCCAATTTTGAACATCAACTTTCCTTGAAGCCGTTGTTGGGACCTTCTCCATTCTTCGAGAATGATAAGGCGCATTATCCAACACAATTACTGCGTTTTCCTCTAAGTTCGGTAAAATTTTTTAAAACCACTGTTCAAACGATTCGCCATTCATTTCCTCGTGGTAACCTCCAGTTTTCTTAGACTCAAAGCACCACAGACCATCAACAACAAATCCATCCTCACTGCCAATATGGCAGATATTGAGCCTTTTCCCTTTACCTGGAAATCGAAGTACTAACTGGTGTAGATTTATTTCAATAAGCGAACCTTTTTCAAATGTTTTCATCACATTCAGCGAAAAAACATTGAGACATGAGTATCAGATTGCTATAATTGGGATTATTTAGTCATATTGAAAGAAAGAATATTGAACGTCGTATGATTACTCAGCGCTTCAAAATTTAATTTAAAGTTATAAACCTTTAAAAAATGAATGATTAGGAACCTGAAATACGCGCAAATATTAATATTAACAAATTATAACTTTATAAAGCTTAAAGTATGAATTAAAATGATTAGAAATATTAGGAACGGTACACAATATAAAACTTAGTAACTTTTTTTAAGTTTATAATATTCGACATATTTTAAGATTATATTAAAAAATTATTGAAATATCGAAACACATAAAAACATGGCTTAAAAAAGTTCTAACAAATAAAAATGACAATTAAACATCCACGCATTTTATCGAAAGTTATGGAAGTTTTGTTACTTGTAATATGTTTTATCTGCCCCCTGGAATTAATGATTAGAACCTTGTTCCCAAGGTTTGAAAAACATCCGATTGTTATCTATTACTCGTATTTACCTGCTGGATTTTTTAATTCGGTGGACAGTCCATCTAGAAAGGCCCTCCTGGATGAAGTTACAGAATCATCAACCCATACTTTACTTGTAGTGTGTCCTGCGTTTACCCACGTTTCGTCAAGGTAATAAATCTTCCTGTTTTGATTTCTATATTTCCCAATTTTTGTTAAATAATCCCTCCTCCATAGCACAATTTCTTCTCTATCCAGTAGTAAACTATTACGACCCCGTTTTTTCCATTTGAAATTTAAATG